ACCTTGTGACCAAAAATTGTCTAAATCGAACCAAAATTGTTCAAGCCTTTAGTACTAAATATGGGCCCCAGTGCCTATAGTTGACTTTCTACCGAAAATATCAGTCAACCCACAAAGAATCTCAAAAGATACCATTTGACTTTGCGAGAGATAAATGTTCGGTTACATCGAATTTAACCTTTCCTTATCTTGTTTTTACACAATTTTCGTTCTATGAACAATAACAAATGGGTTCCATGTTGCAAGTAACAAGTGTTGCACTATCTATATAGTATATCATATTATTTATATTTTGAAACTTTGACATGAACTATAATTCTGTTCATTCCCTTCTATTAAATATTTATTGGATTGGCCAGGGTTATTTTTTGGAAGCGCGGCCGAAGGCCACCAGTAGGATTTGATGCGATTGAATTATGAACACGGTGTTGGACCGACCAGGGTATTTTTGAAGTGCAAATAAGAAATAAACAAAAATAGTAAAGTTAAGAGGGTATATCACTCTCTTAAACTTCATTTTTATTAAAGATAATTATAATAAGTGAGATTTTGAAAATTTGATATTCCACAAGCCGGTTTGGATACCGGAATTGACCCGGATTTTATCCGGCCAAGGGCTGTTATTTCGACGATCTAACCCTGTTGGATCGTAAGTTTTGATTAAGTTTGTCGTCATTGGAGCAACGCCTAGCAGCAGGGTTGCTCCGTATCTCCTGACCCGTGCTGGCATCGAGTCCAACCGGGCCCCGAGGAATTCTACTTGCGCGTAGTGCAAAAAGGTCCATCCAAATCCACCTCGGTTAGGTGCAATACATGCAATGGATGGAGCCATCTTAAGACCTGCTCGGCCTTAAGACACAGGGAGTGGACCACGAGTTACGTGGCCCATGCTGTCACGCAAAATCCGACATCTCTCAACGGCTGTGCAACCTGCCCATGTTGCGACTGGCCACTCCAGTCGAGTGGCCAAGATAGACTCCACGGAGCTCACACAGACAGCATAACATTCACAAATCTTGACCACTCCCCAACTCATCAGCCCACGTCTGACAGCCCTGTTCGACAGTTCGTTCGTGTGTCAGACCATAATACGCCGAATGTCAATCAGTCAAGTGCAATTCTTAATGGTGGGTCACTTTCTGTCGTGTTCTGGCCTGCGCACCACACGAGAGTGGAGTGCGTCGTATGTTGCCCATGCTGTAGGAGTCTGCCCCCGCAATCACATACAGTGGCGTCGCACCAACACCAGTGCGACAACCGCCCATGCGGATAGCACAGCTGCAAGATCGAGGAGATAGTTGCATTTATGGCCGGAGCGGTAACGATAGCTGTGGTCCAAAAACAAGTTAAACAGCCACTCAGATCTTCAGAGTTGGGCAGGTTTCAACGTTTTACGTAAGGATCGCGAGCGGGATAATGGTGGAGGCTAGCCTTCATATTGCACAACACGTGCAATATCGACTAATCGATGTTGACATGCCGCAGGACCCACCTAGAATGTCAGGTATAGCTGTCCGGTCAGGCGATGTCGAGCTCGAAATATTTTATATATCCCCCAGTTACATGTTGCCAACAGGATATACACCGAATAGATGCGCTACATCGTGGTGAAAACGTCTGGTGCTAGGCAACTTTAACGCGCATCACGATCTTTGGCATTCCTGCTGTCAAACGATCGTAGGGGGATGGAGCTGGCGAACAGATAGACGATTCGACATTCTGCACATGAACGACGAAGCCCCACCAGAATTATGGCTGTAATAGCTGCCAGATATTACATGCGTAGCGGTGGCTGATAATAGTATAACCTGGCGACCTATGCTAATCTTGCATCAGACCATCTGCCTATATTATTTCGATCGAGAGACTCCTGACTTAATTTTTGTGGACAACCGCACCTTTGTTAACTTTAACAAAGCTAACTGGGTCGGCTTCACAGAATTTACCGAGAGCACCTTCAACGCACTACCATTCCACGGACGTCATCGTTGGCGAGCATCAATTCCGCAATTATCGCTGGCTACAGCTCGCTTCATACCGGCTGGAAGAAGCGGAACTCCGCTAATTTCCCAGCCGAAGCAGCTGTATTAGCAAATGAGCGCGACACTTACGCCATGCCGATCCCCGTGATCCCCGACATAAGGGATCTCAATTTGGAGATTCGGCAATGGTAAATCATCATAAGCGGACAATGGATAGAGCACCTGAAGTCCTGCAACCTCACCGGTGTGAGTAAGCTTTGGACTACTGTCAAGGCCCTGTCAAATCCAAGGAAACATAGGACGGGTTGAATATCCAATTCGCTGGCATGCCTCTCGACCCGAAGAAGTGCGCGAGCTACTTTAGCCGGCAGTTTATACTGCACCTTCGCCCGACAAGGCAAACGATGTGTTACCGACGTTGCGCAAATGCCAAAGACTGCGCACCACTTACTTTCACCGATGAGAGGTTCAGAGTGTCATCAAAAAGGCGAAATCGTTAAATCCTCGGCCTGACGGAATAAACATGCTGATGTTAAAACATCTAGGCCCAACGGAGTAAACTACCTCACCAAGGTCCCAACCTGTGATATCCACTCTTCAAATACTCGATGTTGGAAAGTCGCGAGTGGCCACTGCTGAAACCTGGGAAACCGCCAACAAAGGGGAGTCTTATGCCCGATAATCCTTTCAGTTAGTGAAGACTTGAGGCCTTGTTACTCCCGTCATTCACCCACCACGAGCAGCAGACATAGCAGGTTCCGTAAAGTGCCAGTACACCACAGCCTTAGCGTCATAAACGCCCAGATAGTTCATGGCCTGAACCAGAAGCCACCCGCGAGAGACGATCCTCGTAGCGTTGAACTTGTCAAAGCTTTTGACACGTCAATCACGCAACGCTTTGAGGACCTGAACAATCAACGTCCTCCAGGGCTGAAGCGGTGGACATGAACTACCTGAGCGGTCGAACTCATCCGTACTATTGGAGTCGCTCAAATCAAACTCCGGAAAATTAAAACGTCCGCAGGGGGTGTCCTCCCGCTACTGTTTAATTTCTACATTCGAACTCCCAGCCACCAGCGGAATTTAATGACGATGACTGTACGATTGACGGAATGGAGCATTTCAAAAGAACGCTACTCTTCGTTAGACATTACCAAGACATTTCCATGGACAGATAAGGATGATCAGTGTGCAAAAAAGAAAACTAAATTTTAGGCGTCACTTTGGACAGTTGTGCTCTTTCACTCTCACAGACCGCGATAACTGCCAAAGTAGAGCAACAAAATCAGTCGCTTGCCGGCAGTCATGGGGAAAGAAAGAAACTTGTTGGAACATACAAGGCAATCGGCCGGCCGGTCTCATTATGCAGGCATATGGTCGCTGGATGCAGTGACACGCAGAATAAGAAGCTTCGACTTGTCAGAACACTGCCTCGACTATCACGGGTGTCTTATGTCCCAATCGAACACCTACATAGCGAGCCTACTCCGGTTAAGGACATAATGAGCTCCTCTCCAAGCATTCTGCTGGAGTTTTGCAGAAACACCCTGCAGACGCTGCTTACAGCGGAGCAGCTCCTAGGAACTCAAGAGGTCTTCCTTGACTACGTCGACGACATCAGACAGCAGTCGACCAGACTTCGACGCAACTACTTCAGACAAGCATGACGCCATCACAGTGGAGCCATTAACACTTCACGACTCCCTTTAGTGAATGGCGTAATACGAGTCAAACCACACCCATTGCAGAACAGAGCTCGAGTTGCCTCGCGAATCTAGAGTGACCTCGCGCAACTTCGTTCTGGATACTATAGCAGGTTAAACTCCTACCTATCCAGAATAGACCCTGACATACCAAACATGTCCTGCATGCAATGAGTCTCCGCATGACACATAACCACCTCTTTGCATGCAAACAACCCCATCATCTAACACCCTCTCCCTATGGACCGACCCGTCGAAACAGCTCGTTTCCTGGGCTTTCCGTTAGATGACCTCGACGACAACGAATCTGAGTTTATCACAAACGGGATTAGATAATCGTTACAACACCAACAAATTTGATATAATAATATAGAGTAAAATATAGCAAATCAGAAATGACCATTGTGAAATTATCAGATGCAATAAATTACCGTTGAAGTCTAAAACTTTTATTTTATTTAAATTGGAAAATTTAGTTCAAAATATTTTGTATAGGTAATTGGGTTTTCTATTTATTTTGATTTCTTTATCGATATGGCAACAGTTATTATCTGATAACATGGAACCCATTATTTATATTAGTTCATATAACGTGTAAAATAAATTTATTTATAAGCATATTTAAATATTTAATATAAAATAAATATGTACATATGTAAAGTGTTAGTGTATAATATAAAGAAAAGTTAACCATAATCGAAAAATTGTGAAATAAATTTTGAAATTTTCAACCTAAATGCAAATATCTCGAAAACATTAAGTTTCCGGCGGCAATAATAATATATATTTTCCGAATCTCCTCTATCGAACCATACCCTCTTAACCTATGCATTAAAAAATAAAAATTTTTTGAAGCCTCTTAGTTGGGGACCTAAAGTATACATTTACAATAAATATGTAGAAATGTAGTGAAGTGTAACTGTTAAGTGCAAAAGAAAAGTAAACTATGAATTGAGAAATTGCTACAATAGCGTAAAACATTCAGTACCTCACATAATACCAATAATATTAGAAGTGCCTGTCGATGCTTATACGTAGCAGCAATTATAAAATTATTTGAATAATATCATATCTTTGACATAACCACCTACCCCTTTTTCCGGCTTTACATTATTTTCATCAGTTCCCAAATCAGCAAACCTTGGTTTAATATGATTTCCATACTCGATGTTGCTTTTTATTTCACTATTTTTATATTCGTTGATAACAGATTTAATGTCATTATTTGCATACGGAGAATGGCTTCCTATTTATTTGGACTGGACAAAATTGAAAATAATTTTTTAAAATTTTAGATACTGTCACATATTCATACACTTTGAAAAACGGCGTCTATCGTTTTCTAGATTTTTGCGCTCAGAGAGCAAAATTCATCCATTATAATTGATTTCGCTTGATATCACCAACCATTGTATAAATCTAAATAACCAATCCTAATACCATGTTCGCACCGTCACAAAATTAGTGTTTTCGTAGACAAAAGAGGCTTTCACGCGAAAGTTTTGTTATCATCCATACAAAATCTGTCAAACGAAAACACAGCTTTCGCTGAAAACCCTTGAAAACTTACATTCCACTCATTATAATCGGTGCCTGCTCTAGTTTAATCGACGCATATTTTACAATTAAAGCTAACTCCTAAGCTTGGATAAAATGATCGGAAACTCTTTGATTCGAGAGAGCGCTGTCAAGTCCACATTTTTTATAACATTGACAGTAGTGCCACTAAGAAAAGAAATAAGTTTTGAAATTTTTTAAATGTATTTCTTGGGTATTTTTCGATTTCCATTTTACAGAAAATATACATAATTACAATTAGTTTAACAAGCTAGATATCCTATTCTATCTAATTATATATACATATATATTTTTAATCACAAAAGATTTTCAAAATTAACGTTTAAAACTAAATTTAACAAAATAATTTAATATTTCACACTATAAATAAATATCTTTTAATAATTTATTCGAAGTCAAAGTTTACATAACATTTGCTGGGAATTCTAACCAAATTAAGTATATAAAAGTCAACAAAAAATCTGATATCACAAATTACCCACTGATTTCGCAATTTATTTCTGCGGGATTTAGTGTGTAGTTCATTGTTTGCTTGTCATCTGTTCAGTAGCTCATGACTCGTGGTTTTTTTTTGGCAGCACTGAAAGTTCATGAGCTCTCTCATAAGGCAAAGAGAGAGAGTTTCGGATCATTTTATCCATGCTGCGGCGTAATCCCTAAGTTGC